AGTAAAAAATAAAAACTACTTGAATCCCATTGTGGTAAATTCTCTTTGAAACAAGCCTTTATGAATAAAAACCGAGAGCATACTAAAGAGTATAAATTGAGAAATCTTTCGATTCTGGTAGGTTTAAAATTTCATCCCTCGAGAAGTGAGAGAAATTCTCTTTTAGCTATTTTCTCCAATTCTCTCGTTTTGCAGAGCAAGACAAAGTTTTCGCACTACAGAAACGTCAGGTTTCTTCATCTACCCTCAAGAAACGACATTTAAGATACTCTCTCCGTGATTTTAAACGCCCCATTTCAAAACATAACTTGCATTTAAACAGCCCCTCTTTTTCAAGGTGGTCTGAAATCTTAAAACAGAAACCATATAAAAACATAGCGGGATAAAGCTGTTCTGAAAGGTTTCACTCAGTCCAATATTTTTATTCAAAATATCATAGAAAGAAATAAGACTTCTTTGTAAAAGGGGGTTCTCCATAAAGGCCTGACTCAGAGCAGGGCACTGTCTTCTGCAGGAAACGACGTCCTATGGTGCGGGCAGGCCAGGAAGGGGACGAAGATTTACGTTTTTGAATAAAGCGCTTCCATTCTTCAATTCCCACGAAACTTAAATATTCGTGAACTACCCTGTACCCTCTTCATGCCGAGCGAGTGCCATCTGACCCGTCTTGAATCATCCGGATTTAAAAGCCAGCAGAAGAGCAGCAGCTAATCCAAGAAGGCAATGGCTGGGAACGCTTTTCCTCCCTGCGCCTCTCAGGAGCCGGGCTGAGGGCGTGGTTTTGTGGAAGATGACTCCAGAGCATCACTTTGCTGAGACCAAACCCATTAACGTGCCCTGCTGAATCAGGGCCTTCACCCTGCCCGCTCTGCGGCGTGCTTTTAGAAGAGGGTGCCGGGGCTGGCCACACAAACCGAAGCGGTTCCTCCCAGCTCCCATCAAATCTCCCAGTTTTCTTTTCTTGATCACACCCATCACTACCTCCAATTACCTTCTTTAATTCCTCTGCTTACTGCCAAACGGGCAGTAACGCTCTCTACAGATCGCCAGCCCCCAGCGCTGGGCGCCTGGTGAACGACCCCACGGCCCCAGGCGGCGGCTGCACGGGCGTGGCCCCAGTCCCCTCGCGCCGGCACACGGCGCCCCCGCCCCCACTCCTCCAGGGAGGGGTCTCTCCGAGGCCTCGTCCGTCCCCCGCGCCCGGAGCCGGCCCCGCGGAGGCCGCAGCGCGGCCCGGGCCTCGCGTGCAGCGCTTACCCATCACCTGGACCCTGCAGATGGCGCACGTATCGCACTCCACGTCCCAGCTCCACATGGCCACCGCGTTCCACTTCTTGAGAGAGAACATTTTGTCGCCTCCCGACTTGGAGCCTGCGCTCCCCGAGTGCGAGGACAGGGTGCAGGGTTCCTCGCCGTCTTCCACGTCGGCCATGGCGGCGGCGCGGAGCCGGCCGCGAAGACGTTGGGTCGCGGGAGGCGGGCGGCTATGGCGGCTCCGTGGGGCCGCCCGACGGCCCACAGCGCCG